AGTGCTGGGGGAGGGGCCCTGGGCCAGAGCCTGAGTGTCTGCCCTGCGGCCTCCCTGCTCCAGAGCCGGGCCGGGGCAAAGTGCTGGGGGGCGCCCTGGCCACTGGCCTGAGTGTCCCTGACGAGATTGGGGTGCAGGCCCCAGGCCCAGCCGTGCCGGGGTTACCAGGACTCTGCCCCAGGGCCGGGGGCAGGGAAGCCCTCGAGGGCAGGTGGGCACTGGGCAATGGGAGAGGGACGCAGTTGCTCTCCCCAGCCAGTGCACCGGGGGGGTGTCTGGGCCGGGGAGTTCCCCCCACAGCGGGACCATGCCCCACTTACTCCTGTTCAGAGGGAATTATAAGAAGGTGGACAAGTGCTGAGCACAGAAAAGGCATTTGTGAGGTTAGGGGCAACAGTGTAAGCTGGTGTCACCTGATTTCACCTCTTGCTCAGCCAGCCTGCCCTCCGGATCGGATCGGAAAGCCCTGGCAATCTTCAGAAAGGCCAGCTCCTCATCCTCTCTTGAGTCCATTGTTCTCTAAAGCTGTTGAGAGACAGAGCGTGAGGCTGGGTCATTCATGCCCCACTCCAGAGCAGGCAGGAAAGGGCTCTGCTCTGCTGTGTGAGTATGAGGCACTTGGAAACTTGAACTCTGACTCCTAAGTGGGACTTTCCAATCTGAGCCCTCCAGGACCTGGAGCCAAACAGCACTGAAGAAGGGAAAGTGTCTCCCCCCAGCACACTCAGCACCCTGGGAGACAGGGCAATGAGGGAGTTCAGTTTCACAGTCATTAAATAGCCCCACGATTTACAGAATCAGTGCCAGGTCATGCTGATTTCATACAAACACCAGCAGTCCAGCAACATACACCACTGAGAGGTGGCACAATTCTCTGGAAAGGGAGGCAATGCAGACAGTTCCATGAGTCTGCAGCATAGGAGCTGCAAGGGAGAGAGATACTCCCTAGAGCAGTCAGGGGAGGCAATGGAGTGGTGAATGTTCAGCCCTTGAACATCAGGCCTTATTTATGGGATTCCACAGGGATTTAAGGCCTTTCTTTAGGCACCTGGATTTGAAAACGCAGGCATCCGTGGGGAAATAGCCAGCGTCTCTGAAATCTGGGCGTCTTCTGCTACACCATATAGGACTCTTTCTGGCTAAGCAAGAAGAAAGGAACTAAGGGCATTACATCACACTGTAATTATCTGACCCATTGATGTTCATATTGTATCGTCATGTATTGCTAAAAGCTCGCTAGGGAGTTCGGAACAAATCTCCTTGGCAATACACACCTAGTTAACTACATAGTCTTAGCGCAAGCCGAGGGCAAGTGCAAGTGCTTCACCCTGTACCTGTGCCCTATGTGCTGTCTTTTCACTGAGGAGAAGCCAGAGCACTGACCACCCTCCTGTGCACTGTACCTAGCCAGACACAAGCAGGAGCTATCTGGTATTTCTAGGAACTTGGGTCACGTGATCTCCATTTAGCCATTAATATTGGGAGCTGCAAGGTATATGAAATGGCTACATGGAAACAGCTGGGTTCTGAAATTAGGCTGATGCCATCAGATTTCTTCTGTCTTGCTAGTGACTAATGCCTGTATTCACATGGACCCTGGGAGGAGTGTCTGGCCCTGTAGCAATAACAGCAGTGCCTGAGAGTGATCTGTGCATGTACACACACAGCAGGGAGCTACACCAGGTGCTCTCACAGCTAAGGAGATGAGTGACAGTCCGGGATGGAGCCATTGCTGCTCCTCTAAAGTCATCACAATAAAAAGTTATTTCTGTGCTGGGAGGGAACTGCTTGATTTGAACAGCAGCACTGCAGTTGTGCACTGTCACACACAAACAGCCTGGAGTGGAGTTATTTTGCACCCAGAAATTTGTTTTCTGGAGCTTCTGTCAATGGAAACAACAGGAGCCTCTCTAACAAGCAAAGCCTTTGTGCTCCTTAAAGCCCTTAGCAGAGCCATGATGCAGAGATTCTGTAGACAGCACCATTCCCCCTGGGTGATAGATGCTTCCTCATGTTCCTGGAAGCAGTATTGACAGTACAGACACGGGGGCTATGTCTACACTGGCATGATTTTTCGGAAAAGCACATCTAGATTGGTAGGATGCTTTTCCGCAAAAGCACTTTTTGCGGAAAAGCGTCCGTGGCCAATCTAGACGCGGTTTTCCGCAAAAAAGCCCCGATTGCCATTTTCGCGATCGGGGTTTTTTTTGCGGAAAACACTACTGTGCTGTTTACACTGGCCCTTTTGCGCAGTAGTCTTTCGGAAAAAGACTTTTGCCCAAACGGGAGCAGCATAGTATTTCTGGAAAAGCACTGATGATCTTACATGAGATCGTCAATGCTTTTCCGGAAATTCAAGCGGCCAGTGTAGACAGCTGGCAATGATTTTGCAGAAAAACTTGCCAGTCTAGACACAGCCATGAGGTTTCACTCCAAGAGCAGCAAGGTAGGAAGTGGCAAGTTGTGTTTCTCTAACTGGGTTTGTATCTCAGACAAGCTTTGCACCATATTGCTTGGAGATATTTTAATGGCATTAAATCAAAACTGCTGGGCTTTGTCTGAGGAATGTGGACTGTAGCCCTGGGATGAGCGCTCTATTCAGAGAGCTCGGCAGGCAGCTTTCAGTGCTTATTATTTGCTTAGCACCAGGAGTAAACTGAGCACTGTGCAATACACAACATAGAGAGGACCAAGTCCAAAGAGCTTCCAAAGTGTCAGAGACTGAGGATTTCCCAGTGACAACAGTGGGGAGGTCCGCAGCTCAGCCATCTGTGTGGGGAATCATAGAATATGGCCTCTGCAGCAGACACAAAAGGAGACAGAAGAGGGATATTATTCCCATACCCCTATTCCCCTCACCTTCCCAGTGTCCCTTTGGCCTTGGTATTTCAGCGTCCAGCACCTTGCTCTGAATTTGCTACATATGGAATTTAATCTGAAAGCCTCATTTTTAACCAACTGCAAGCAATACCCTCAGCAAGGTGAGCATCGGTTAGAGAGCCAGCGGGAACAGGGGGTGCCCCAATTTCCACAGCTAGTCCATGGCTGTGGCGATTTAGAGGCTGGGGAACACAGGGTGGTGAGCTTGAGTCCTGCCCACCCTTGGAGCAGCCAGCCACCCATCACCAGTTTTCCCAGGGATGCAGCAGCCTCTAGTTTTAGGAAGGCAGGATAAAGGGATGTTGTGAATGTAGGGAGGTGGGATGGGTTCTTCAGTGGCCTAGTATTGTAATTGGGGCCTGGAAGGTGATAATTGAAGAGGCAGAGGATCTCAGCCTCAAGTAACACCAGCACTGCCATATCTAGCAAGCACTACCTGCTCTGAAAGATCAGTTCATGTCTCTGTAATCAATATACTCATCCCAGAATGAACTGGGGTAATTAATTTCAGGGATTTTTGTTAAACATCCCAAAGGTTATGGGAAAAGGAAAAAGACAGAATGGATGGATGGTAGCCAAGTGGGGGTAACTAACTAGACTGTGTAATATCACTGCAGAGACATCCAGCTACTATGGTGATGGGTGCAGGACAAGAACTCAGACAGAAAGATCCAGCTACTCAGGACCTTTCATGCCTTTGCATACAAAGCCCGAGCTCTATTCAAGCCCCAGAAATCAGTCAGTCAAGCAGGTTCACCAGGGGTTAATATTATAGTGCATTAAAATCACTATAAAAGTTAACAATGAAAGTTAATTGTCAGGTTAGCAAAACATTATGGTGAAGAAAGAGCACCTCATATACGGAGGTATTTCAATACGGAGAGTTGCACTGAACTGATCAAGGTGCTAAGAGAGGAGTGTATTCAGAACTATTGACTGTCAGCAAGAGTCCTATGCATCTAAGGACAGAAATTAAAGGTGGAAAAGGCCTTTCGGATCATTGCTTCCTGAGTCCTGTTCAGCATGCCCTAGAGAGCTTTTGTTAGTGAGA